TATTATTCGTTTTTTGTTGTGTCCATATAAGGCATTTTTCCACATATTTGGAGCTCTGTATGCTATAGCATTTACTATAAATAGAAAGGTGGTACTTGACCTACCTATATAAATTACAACTCACCCAAGACACATCCCAAGGTTTGTCAAGCAATTTTATTTCTAAATTAGTGTTTTACTTTGTACTGTTTCTACGAGGAAAAGGTCTGGAATTAGTCTTTTTCAAGACTTATATATGTTCAATGTAAATTTTTAGAAAATAAAGTCACCTGCTAATTATTTTACAGGTATTCTTTGGTATGCCAAACCCAAGGGATTAACATAAAACATACAGTAGTTCTCCAGAAAGCCTAGTCTTGGTGCCTCGTCTATATAAAAAATTTCCTGCCCAGAATAACCTGATATAAGCATGAGAAAACAATTCTGATAATGTCCAAACACTCTTGGGAGAACCACAGCTCTCATTTATAAAATAAAGATTTGACTCCACAATGACCCAGGGAAGCTTCGATACATTCAGTTTAGATGGAGAAAGCTTCCTTGAACATGACCTTCCAAGAATTCCTTTTCCTTCCTTTGATTATTTGTGACCTGGAGCTTCTACAAAATATTCTTTCCACTCTTATTAAAGTATGTCTATATAGCATATATTTATACACACACACACACACACACACATGCTGCCAAAAATATGTATACATATTTTAAGAAAGGAAAAAACTGTATTAAAATTATAATACTCAATATATACAGATAACAAAAGATGAATACAAGTCATGTTTGAGTTCTACAATTACAAGAGGTGCTCAAAGTGGTTACCATCAGTGTAATTTTAATACAGTTTTTTCCTTTCTTAAAATGTGTATACGTTTTTTGGCACCCTCTGTGTGTATACGTGTGTGTGTGTGTGTGTGTGTGTGTGTGTGTGTGTGTGTGTGTGTGTATGTCTTCCAGAAGAGTATAATTTGCATAATTTGGTAAAAATACAAAATTTGTCATTTGAAAATAATTTCCTCTACCTAAATGTTCATTGTCAAGTATTAAATTTAATATATATGCCTGAAGATTTCCTAATTATATTGTGATCACTTCTGCTACCTCTTGAGAGATAACGGCTATCTTTATTTTTTATTTGACACTTAAATTGTTTCTCTTAAATTTATTTATTTATTTATTTATTTATTTATTTTTAGCTGAGCCATCCTGCCACCTGTTGACAGCTCAGCAGCTGCTCAGCTCGGGCCAGGCATCGAACCGCTGTTGCTCAGAGCTCAAACTCTTGAGTGAGCTCTTAACCAAATGAGCCACTCAGCCGACCCTTAAATTGATTTGTTAAATGTGGCTTTAATCTATAAAGTTGGTTAACGTACTGAGAAGGTGGTTTGGAGTACATTTAGCTTTTTGTAATTTCCAATAGTTATTGTCTCCAAGATCATTCCAGATGAGAATTAATAGAGATCAAATATATTTTTTTAAAAAGAAAAGACTGTGGCTTTATTTCCCAAGTTTTGCACTATAGTTGCTATTTATAATTCTTGGTTTTCATCAAAGGTAATGGAAGTAATTAAATATAAAGATATAGACATAGGTATCAATTATAGTTAAACATGTATAGATCCTGAATTTTTAATGCATAATCAGATATATTTCAATAAAAGTATCCTAATGCCAAAAGAAGTTAGAGAAAGCCCTATTTTCATCTGTAATCACACAGGTATATTAATTAAAAATCAAGCTGGGGAACTATAAATAGTGCAGAATTCCACCTGTTTAAGATTCTACACTGTGACTGGGAACCTTACAGTTTTAAAATAGAATAGCTCTTAATTCTTTTTTTTTTTTTAAGATTTTTTTTTT